GTTCATGTCTTCTGCCCATTTATTGATGTGATTATCTATTTTTTGAGTGTTGAGTTTGAGGAGTTCTCTATAGATCTTGGATATCAGCCCTTTGTCTGTGGTGTCATTTGCAAATATCTTCTTCCATTCTGTAGGTTGCCTCTTTGTTTTGTTGACTGTTTCCTTTACTGTGTTGACTTCTAAGAGCAGTTGTCCTGTGGTACTTGGGATGGAAGACAAACACAGAAAGAGATTCAAACTACCATTTTGCAAATAACATAGAAAATGCAAGTACTTGTTTTTTTAAATCAGTCCATTTGCAAAAGAATTAAATGACCTAGTAAAATTTTTTCCATAGCAGCTGAGCTATGTCAGCCAGCCAAAAGAGAGGCAGAACCAGTGGGAGGTGGATATAGATATAAAAATATGCTCAGCTGTCCCCATAGATCCATAGATACATGAATAAATCTATCTATATATCAGCATATCCATATATCTGGCCCTGACCTCACAAGCAGGTCTTCAAGAAGGGCAGGCTGACAAGCCGGAAGCTGTTGTCCCCAGACAGACCCTCTCCTTCTGGGGAAAACCTCAGTTCTGCTCTTAAAACCTTTCAGCAGATTGAATCAGGGACGCCCAGATTATCTAGGATCATCTCTCCTCCTTAAAGCAAAATGAGTATAGATGTTATAGTCCTACAAAATACCTTCACAGAAACACCCAGATTAGCGCTTGATCGAATAACTGGGAATTGCGGTCTAGCCAAGTTGACATGGAAAGTCAACTTCTAGGAGCTAAGATAATAGAGTCCACATATATTGCTTTCTCGTCAAATCTAGTAAGGGATAGAGTTTAGAGAGCCAACATTATAAGTATGTATTATGTTTATAATTTTTAAAAGCCTTTTTGGGGAAGATTTTATTTATTTATTTATTTGAGAGAGAAAAAGAGAGAGAGCACAAGCCGTGGGGGAGAGGTAGAGGGAGAAACAGACTCCCCACTGAGCAGGGAACCCAACACGGGGCTAGATCCCAGGACGCTAAGATCATAACCTGAAACAGAGGCGGATGCTTAACTGACTGAACCACCCAGGTGCCCCTTAAAAGTCTTTAATTTTTTTTTTTTTAACTACAGAAATTGGTGGCATTTATCAGATCTATCTCAAGAGAAAACAATCTGGGAAAAGTACACTGCATAACTGTTTGGTAGTCCCTTCCATTCAATTAGCATTTACTTGTAAGATATCTTTAACAAATGTGAGACCACAGTTAGTTCATAGCAAGTCCCAGGTAAATTTCAGCCTTTTGCGTTATTAGTTAGAACAAGATCCACGTGCCCATGGGAGACAGGCAATGTCAGCACACTGAGTGTGAAAATGTGGAAGCCGGATCTGTCTTCTCAAGCTCTTTCTCTAGAAATATCTGTGCCGTTGGCAGTGTTTGAAAACTGGCCCAAAACGTTACCTCAAGGAGTTTTGTGTATGTCTAAGCCAGAGTTCCGCAACCTTCCTCTGTCTGCCCTGCCCCAGCGACTCATAAGTGTTTCCTGGTGCTCCTAAGCCAAAGGAAATGTAGTTTTGTTCACCAAATACTTAAGTCCAAACAGTTTTGTTTATTGAATACTTAAGTCCAAGTACCGTAAATAAGAATTAATGTCTTAGCAACGTAATAGTCATTTGAAAAGATAGTTGACATAAATTGAATAGAAAAAATATTTTTATTTCATTCTTAAATAACTACATCTCCTGCTGCACCCAGATGCTCCCATGGTAGTTGTTTTCCTCTCACAGTAACCAAAAACCCTGCTCTGCAAAGATAGGTCATCAGAAGGGGAACACAATCCACGGTAACACCACGAACCGCCTTGAGTTAGTCATTCACAGTGTCCAACAGGTAGTGTCAACCGTGTCTTCCTCAGAACTTTAAAATATCCCATTACACCCTCATGAGCTTCTTGTGGCACCCCAGAGTGCCTCGGCGCACAGTTTGGGAACTGAAGAGCCTAAGCATTTGTACAAGCACCTGGTTGAATTCTGAATAACATAATTAAAAACCTGCATATTTTCAGGGCACCTGGGTGGCTCAGTTGGTGAAGCGTCCGACACTTGATTTTGGCTCAGGTCATGATCTCTGGGTGTGAGATCGAGCCCTGCAGGGGGCTCATGCACTGGGCAAGGACCCTGCTTCAATTCTTTCTCTCTCTCCCTCTGTCTCTCCCCCACTCTAAAAACAAAACAAAACAAAACCTGAACATTTTCAAGATCAGACCTTCTAGATATTTCCCCATTTTGTTTGAGAAAGATGCAAATTGTTTAGCCAGGAAGCCCACAGCATGATAGCTCCACATTGAAGTCAGACTGTCGGAATGGAAGCAGATGAACAAGTCCACGCATGTGAAATTACCACCAGAGGATTCGCCCAGCTTCCGCGTGCCTCTTGCCATGCTGACGCGGGGAGGCCTTCCGTCTTCGTGCGCTCTTCCTTTTCTGTTACGTTTTCAGTCCATTCCTCGTAGACCCAGCGTGAAAGGGATTTAACGTCTTTGTGTCAGGAAAGGCCTATTTATTCTGACAAACTGATCAACCTCCAGGGTGTTCCTCTACCAGGAAACTGATTTTATATCTCATCCACTAGCTAATAAGATGTGAAGCGTTTTCCCTGTCATGCCAAGAGATCAGACTCGCTTCTGAGGAAGGTGCTAGGCTGAAGTCACCCAGTGAGCGCCTCCCCGTGACTGAACCGTCCAGGCTGCGTTTTTCCGAACACGGCGCGTGAGAGCTGACCGATGGCTCTGGGGCAAATGCAACGATGAGCGGACACATTAATTTTTTTTTAATTGTTTGTCATCTTAAGAGGAAGCCCTAAGACCCACTTCATTCGCTGTTCACTGGATGAGCCTTGGGCTTAGGGAAAATAAAATGTGCCAGAAATTAAAACCCGGTGGCATTGACGGATTGTATAAAGACAACCTGACGCACGCCCGTCTCCCACCAACCTGAATCTTTAGATAAAGTGTAAATCCCACAAAATGGGGGCCAGTCTCTTTGCTGTGAGAAGAAATAAGACTACAGCACTCTGAAAATAACGACTACTTAGAAGGTAGATGGCCTCCTACCTACAGAGGCCTTTTCCGCATCAAACACCTGCCTGTCTTGTTCAGTCTGCTCAAAGATTAAGACGATTCTCAGACGAGCTGTTGAAACAAGAAACTGGACGTGGGGAAGGAGGGAGACCTGCTTCTAGGGTGAAGACAGCACGAAGGAAAACCACCTGGGACGGGCTGTTCTCTTGGAGGCGAGGAAGGGTGGTGATGTGTTGGGGGATAAAGCTGGACTTTTCTGGACCCTGTTTGTCTGGGGTTGTATTTATCAGTTCCAAACAGTCTTATCTGAAGCAAAACTGCACTAACTTCCTGGCTCGTGCTGGAGAATATTCATTTGAGAACCTCAAGCCTCTGCGACTTTTTTGCGTCTTCTGGATTCTCACTGCCATTACTCTATCCATTACCGATGGCTGTGTAAGAAACACCCCAAAACTTAGTAATTTTAAACAACAACAGTCTTGTTCTTGTTTTGCTTTATTTTCTTTTTTCCCGACAAGGCTGTAATTGTGGCAAGCTCCTGTAAAGTTGACTTTATCTCTCTCCCACCTGGAGTCATCTGGGGCAACTCATCCAGGGGCTGGAAGGTCCCTGGAAATATGGCTCAGATGCTGGGCTGCCATGTTGGTGCCGGCTGCCTGCTGGTGGCTCAGCCAGGCCTCGTGGCCCACGGCTTGGGTTCCCTGTACACCAGCCCCTCAGGAGCCACTGGCCAGAACGTAAGCTACCCGTTTCCTCAAGCCTGGGCCCAGATCGCAGCCTACCATCACCTCCACCTTGTGCTGTTGGCCAGGTAGTGAACACGTCCATATTTAAGCAGAAGAGATCTAGAACCCGCCTCTCCTGAGGGGTGTCAGAGGGCAGGGACAGAATGATGACTTCAATCCCCTGTGTCCGCTGAAGGGCACACCCCCTTAGCCACACCCTCTGGAGCATGGCTGGTGGCGACGGAGTCAGCCTAGAGGGGCCTCCATGTTCCCGACGGTGGGAGGAGAGCTTCCTTTTCCAGCAGTCACTTTTGAGCTTTCTTCCCTGAAGATGGAGGGTGGAGAGCAGTGAGTTGCTCCCCATGTCTCTCCCATTCTGTGGTGTGTGAATTTTGACAGGGGCATCATCCCCAGCTGAGCAGACCCACTCCAGGCCACGTAGCAGCTACCCCTGGCCACCATTACAAAGTACCATGGACTGGGGGGCTCCAACAACAATTATTTTCTTACAGTCCTGCAAGCTAAAAGCCAAGAAGCAAGGTGTCAGCAGGGCTGGTTTCCCCTGAGGTCTCCCTCCTGATTTGCCGATGGCCACCTTCTCGCTGTGTCCCCACATGGTTATCTCTCAGTCCATCTCCTCTCATAAAGACACTGGCCACGTAGGATCAGGGCCGACTCTCATGACTTCATTTTACCGTGCTTACCTCATCAAAGACCCTATTTCCAAATGCACTCCCATCCTGAGGTACTGGGGGTCAAGACTTCACCATATGAATGCGCAGGGGACACAACTGATTTCTGCTTCCTGTAATAGGCTTTCCATGTAAAACGAAGTCTATTAACATGCACTTATAAATCCTCTGTGTGTGTAAACAGATCTAGGATGTGAAATCCTTGAATAACATTGTTTTCCTCATATCCTAACACCAGTAACACTCTACGACTCTCTCTCCTGCCAGACTGGAAACATCATAAAGATAGGAAATATGACTCAGCCATCTTTGGAACCCTGCTGTAGGGCTTGGAACATTATTTAGTAAAGAGCGAACAATGTCATTGAAATATAACTTCGTTTCTCTTTGCAAGAAGTCCTTTGGCACAGAAAACGTCACACAAGTCAGAGTAATGGCTGTAGTGAGCTTGGAGAAGGAAAAACATGTGAGGTCCAGGAGCAGCCCACAGACCCATCCTTGACACGTGTGTGTTCTTCCGCAGTTCGTCTTCTGCCGGGACTGTAAGGAGGAGTACCATGAAGGTGAATGCGGCACCCTCTTTGAAGCCTCAGGAGCAGTTACTCAGGTAAGGTGCCCCCTCCTTCCACAAAACAGGGCTCGGGATGTGGGTGCGAGACAAGAGCTGTTTCCTGAAGGTCAAAGGGTTCCAATCTAAAAAACAAAAAAATCAAAAACAAAACAAAACAAACAAACAAATTAGCCTAGTAGCCTACAGCCCCAGGGATTGGGCCCTCTGGCTGTCCCACCCACACGATCCTCCCAGAATGACCCACCTCCTCAGGGTAGGGCTGTAGATGGCCACTGGGTTATGCCCATGCTTTCCCCAGGGGTATATGCAATAGGGAAAAGGAACATAGCATGAGCAGAGGAGTCTTTAGAGGAGAGAGAAAACAATGTAACAATTTCTGAATCAGGTCAATCAATTTTAACCCCACATTTATAGTTTTTTTCAAAAGTGCCTTGTGTAAAATCATTGGTGAAACTTCCTCCATGAATGATGTGCATAGAAGTATTACGTGATGCGAGGATATTACCGTTCTTTAGCAATATCATCAAGTATGCTAAATTGTATTTCAGTCTTGATTAGGTGAAGAGCTGTTTACTGCACCTTACTCTCCAATGTACTACATCAGGCTTAGGGAAATGCAAATACATTTTCTTTTATTTATTAATTATTATCAACCAAACCTTAGAGGAAAGGAGTAAAAATTTCAGCACAGTTGATGAATTTGCTCATTATTTTTCCACTGATAGAGATGTTAACAAAATTTTAAATATCCAGTCTACCCAGGTAAATCTTTCAGTTAACTTTATTGACAGGAGCCTCATAAAGAGATGTAGAAATTTCAGAGCATTTTAATTTTACGGTAGAGAATTTAATATATCTGAATGTTCTAAAAGCAGAGCATAAAGAAGTATATCTTTTTAAGATACTCTGTGGACTTATTTACTAATATTAACACAAGCAAATAAACATAACTAGTGAATTCAGGTCTTCTCATCAGCTTCTAAGATGTTGGCCATGAGCATATTGGGAGACAGATCTGAATTGCCATTTCTGCAACAGAGGCAGCAAATGCTCTTTCTGGTGATTTTATTTTATCCCAGTGGCATTCAAATACAAGCTCACTGCGTGCTGATGTCAGGAATAACATTAACCCCGAGATGCCCCTGCCTCAGAACCACTGTATCCCAGAGGCTAGGCTAGACCAAGGCACCGAGAAATGAAGCTGGTCTAGCAACTTACATCCGTACACTCTTAGGACCACAAACATGGGCAAAGGCTTCGAAGAAGTGATACCTTAATGTCTATTTGAAAACAGTAGCCATAAGGTGAAGGAGAAAATTCCTTAACCTTGAAGTTGTCCAAGTGCCTAACCTACCTGATAATCCCCTTCCTTATTCATTCAGAAAGAACTAACAAACCTCGGTGTTAAAGATTGAGGTAACTCCCCAGAATTTTTTGAAGCTATTAAAACCTTATTGTTCAACTCAGGAAAGTAGGAGAAGGAAAGTTAGAGCTGGCCTTAAGCAGAGGTGACCAGGATCCAGGGTCTTGTTTCTGCAAAGACCACCAATTGGCAAACAAACATTTGTCTACGTAAATATATATAAATCAAACATTTGTACCCAAATGTTTGGATATAAATATATCCAAATCCAGACTTTCTTTTTCTTAAAGATTTTATTTATTTATTTGACAGAGAGAGAGAGATATCCCAAGTAGGCAGAGAGGCAGGCAGAAGTGGGGGGGGAAGCAGGCTTCCTGGGGAGCAGGGATCCCGATGCAGGGCTTAGTCCCAGGACCCTGAGATCATGACCTGAGCCAAAGGCAGAGGCTTAACCCACTGAGCCACCCAGGTGCCCCGGCCAACAGACTTTCTGCTGGAAAACTGCAGATAAGGAATTTTTTTTAAGATTTATTTATTCATTTTAGAGAGAGCGCGAGCAAGGGGAGAGGTAGAGAGAGGCGGAGAGAGAGAATCTCAAACAGATGCCCTGCTGAGCACAGAGCCAGACACCAGGTTCAGTCCCACAACCATGAGATCATGACCTGAGCCAACACCAAGTGTCAGATATTTAACACACTGTGCCACCCTGGTGCCCCTGCAGACATGTTTTTCTTCAGAGTCACATGAAGGTGTCATAGGGGAGACTTAGAGAAAAAATATAGAACAAGAGTAATATGCTAAAACAAAGTTTAAGAAATCTATAGCTTTTATAACCCTTCCCCAAAAAAGTCACAGAAGGTTGATCAGAGTCTGTCAAAAGGACAGTGGGTTAAGGATGATAAAAAAACAAAAACAAAAACAAAAAACATTCCAGCATAAAATGCTGCATGGACAAGGATGCAGAGGCAAATATCTTGTCTGGTGCACAGATATTTAACAGATGTCTTTTGAGTGATCATTGCATCTATAAAGAAAAAGACATTATTTTATTCATGCATCAAATATGTGTTAAACACCTATAATCCATTAGGCTTTGTTCTAGGCTCTGGGGATGAAGTACCTGCTCTCACAGACTTTATATGACTTTATTAGATGCCACAAAGCCCATACAATCAGTACACTAGGAATTCAGAAAAAGAATAGTTAATTCAGGACAGAGTTGCCTCCAGGAGGAATTCAGGAAGAGGCAGCCCTGTCATAAGTCCTCCTGCCTCACTCGAGCTGCTGGACCAACCTCATACTCCTCTTATTTGAAACAAAACGAACTGACCAACTGAACTGGAGGAGTCTGTCCACTGTGGCCTGAGAACAGAAGGCAACTTGTTGGGGGTGTTGCTGCCCTTTTCCCCCCATGTCTCTGATTTATTAGGCTCCTATAGGAAACAGAATCCAACTCCAATGCGCACGTGAAGAGATTTTAACTAAAAGGTCATGGATGACCTACAGTGGTGAGGAAGAGTCACAAGAACCCAACACGATGTGGAGGGCCTCCGAGGGCAGCATCGGCAGCCATGACCTGCCGAGGCCTGAAGAGACAAAAGGAAATGGTGTCACACAGAGAATAACCCTGGGGGTTGGAACCATGGAGGTGGGGCCTCTTGACAGGAGGTGTAACCACAGAGGGTCCAGCATCGCCAGAAGTGGGCCCCAAGCAGGAAGGGAATGAAGATGGACATCTTGACTTCTCTCTTCCGCCTTCTGATCTCTTGCTTATGTCTCCACATCCAACCAGAAGCCAACCTGAAAGCGTCCTAGCGACACAGCCTTTGGGAGTAAGCCTTCCAGGGCAGGCCAGAGGGGGAAAGAATGCAAAATAACCAGTGTATTCTTGATGATCTGACTTACCAAGTCCCCCAAGCCTCCTGACTTCAATCATAGCTACTCTTGGACATGAAAAGGGATGAACCACATGAACTACTTCATCAAACTAAAAGACCCATTCCATTCAGTAAGAGAAAGGATTCTTATTTTAATAGGACAGGTTTGTTTTCTGTTCCTTGTATTTCTCTCAAATGTCAGTGATCTCCAGGCAGAGGACTTCTGCAATTCCACTGATATGAAATCTTTGACAGGAGGAAACTACACATCCAACAGTACAAAGCTAATTGCAACCCCATCCCTTGGAACTGAAGGCTTTGGAGGCAGCCTCATGTCTGAATTTTGCTCATGCTAACAAAATACCCTCATGAGCCCTCTTCCCATTTCCTTTCAATTCAACTCACCTGTAAGGATTTCCCTTTCAGTATTTGTGGCTACTCTCCATTGTTCACCCTTAAAAGCTGAGTAGTTTCTGGTCTTTGATATTACATTTTGCAGCCAAGCTAGTCCATGTCTCCTGGGGCCCAATCAGCTTTCTTCCAACAGTTAGGCTACTTGACCCTAAACTTAATGCATTTTTTGATTAATGCAATATTTTTTTTAAAAAAAGCAAACTCAAAAATTGGTTTTAAATTGGTTTTAAAATATTGAACAAGCTTTAGGTTGAGACTGCTGGGAGTTTGGGAAATTGTGACAGAAGATCAATCTATCCCAGGCTAATGAGAATCCAGTCCCATTTGCTTCCCCTTGTTCCTGCCTGGTTGCTCTCCTCCCCATGCTCTGTTTCCTTTCATATATTCCCTCTGGAGGCCTTCTAATAAGTAAACACTTGCTCTTGCAAACCACATAAATTGATTCATTTTCCCAGTGGTTTCAAGGAGTAGATGTTACTCTCCCTATCCAACTGGAAGGCAAACTGAGACTTCTGGATTTTTAATGGCATTGTCCAAAGCCACAAAGGAAATCATTTCCAGTGGCAATACCCAATTAAAGTAGTTTGGGGACAGTGGCTGCTCTCTCTGAGTAATAAATCTACAGTGTCTAAAGGGAGTGTGCCCATCCCTACCTGCCAACCTCCCACTCAACCTTCAAGACTCAGATCATATGTCATTTCCTGCATGAAGCCATCTGCCCACCCCACTACCTCCTTGAAGCTCTCAGACACCTGTATATGCTTCTGTTCTACATCCATCACACTGAGATATTGTTTCCCTGTCTCTTCACTTTTGTCTTTATAACCCCCAGTGCCTAGGATGCCTAGGACATAGTAGGTACTCGTTAAGTGCTTTCTGAAAGAAGACAACTCTTTCCTTCATCCCCAAACCTCCCTTCTCACTATGAAGCCAGGGAAGCACTCTCCAAGAATGGTGGAGAGGAGTCATCCAAGATGGTGACATAGGAGGCTCCTGAGCTTCCTGCCCTCACAGATGCACCAAACCTACAGCTACACATGGGGCAGTGCCCTCCGAAAGAGATCCAGAAACTAGCTGAGTGATTCCTACACACTGGATGAATGAGAAAATACCCACATCAAAATGGGTAGGAAAGGTTGAGACACACTCTTACCATAAACCCCACTCCTGGCACTGTGCCATACAATCAGGACAGAACCCCCAATGCCCAGCTTCTCCCAGAAGGGTGAAGGGTTTGGACCCTACATCTAGCACCCCAACTGTTAAAACTGGGTGCCAAACACCTAGCCCTGAAAACCAACAAAGTTTGTGATTGTGAGACCCCCCCACAGGACTCTAGCAAACATAGAAGCAATTCCTATGGGGCACACCACAGTTACCAC